GAGGAGGATGAAGAGGAGGAAGAGGATGAAGAGGACAGATTATGTGGATATCTGGGCACAGCCGAGGTGCAGCGGAAGAAATCCGCAGCGGAGACTTGGGAGAGCGAGGAGAGTTGCTTCTGCTAGACCTTATGGCGGGACCTTATGGCGGGGCGGAACGTGAAGCATCACAGGGGAGTTAGGAGAAGGAGGAGGAGGAGGTAGAGGAGGAAAAGAATGAGGAAGAGGAGGAGGCTCAGGAGGAGCTCTTGGGTCCTTCGGCGGCTTGAACGGAAAATGGCCTCGCTGCGCCATTGGATACGACAACGACGACGACGAAGAAGGCGACGACAAAGAGAAGGGGTAATATGAGAGGGGCAGACCGCTGTGTTGGGATCTCGTGGTGCGCCTCTCGGGGCCCTCTGGGAGGCAGTTTTGAAGCGTCTTGGGGGCGTTCTGGGGTTATTGGGATCTTTGTAAGGCCTCTTGGGGGCCTCTTGGGGGCTCCTTGGGGCTTCTTGGGGGCTCCCTGGGGCCTCATGGGGCTCTCTCCGGGCCTCTTGGGGCCCTCTCGCGGCGGAAAATTTAGTTTTTGAATTTTGGGCGCCCTCTTGGGTCTCTCTTGGGGCCGTCTTGGTGCTCTTTTGGGCCGTTTTGGGCGCCTCTTGGGCGGTCTCGGAGCCCTCCTGGACCGCGTTGGGGCCTTCTTGGGGGCATCTTGGGCAGTACTGGGGCGATCTAGGGAGCCTCTTGGGCGATTGTGGAGCGTCGGGACGCGGGAAAAGCGAGAAGGCCAAAAACATCGAAAAACACGCAAGAAAATCAACAATTGTAGCCTCTCGGGGCTCTCTTGGGAGGCCCCTCGGGGGTCTCTGGGGGCGTCTTGGACGCGTCTTGGGCAGTCTCGGGCCCAGATTGGGCGTTTGGGGCCGATCTCTGGGTGTCTCGGGGCCCTCTTTGGCCGTCGTGGGTTTTTTTTTTCGCGTCGCACTCGCAGGACAGACGCGAAGTACTCTGCAGGAGCTCCCCAAAAGCTTGGGGAGACCGAAATTCGTTTGGGGGGGTGGGGGCACCGTGTGCCGTTTTTCCGGGGTCCCCGGCCCTGTAAAAATATATAAATAGGAATATATCATCCGTGCTCTCGCTGCACGCTGCCTGTGGGCAGCTCTTGCCGCGCGCTGCGAGCATATAGCCTCAGGGGTAGCGTCATGAAGCTCTGCCCGCCGCGCGAAACGGAACGGGGAGGAGCAATCCCTGATCTCCGACGATGTGTTTTCCACTGGTCATCTTTTCCCAGATTTCGGTTTTCGGGGGCCAGTTGTCGGCCCCCCCAATTGGGCCATCGGAAAACGAGTCCGGGACGAGAAGCTATACCCCAGGGATGGGGTCGGGGCTTTGGGGGCCACGGATTGGAAATCACGCTACCGAGGAACCCCACATACCTATTTCATTTCCCATGTGTACCATCGGTGCTTCTGCTGCTGCTCCTCCTTCTCCTCCTCGGTGTCCTCCTGCTGCTGCGTCTGCTGCTGCTGCTTCTGCTGCTGCTGCTGCTGCTGCGTCTGCTGCTGCAGCTGCTGCTGGTGCTGCTGCTGCTGCTGCTGCTGCTGCCGCTGCTGCTGCCCCACCTCCCCCTCCTCCTCCTCCTCCTCCTCTTCCTCCCTCCTCCTCCTCCTCCTCCACTCCTCCTCCTCCTTTCCTCCTCCTCCTCCTCCTCCTCTCCTCCTCCTTCCTCCTCCTCCTCCTCCTCATCCTCCTCCTCCTCGTCCTCCTACCTCCCAGCGCACCCCTGTGGCGTCGAGAAAATGCCACGCCTGCCACGCCTGGAGCTCCGATAGGGCCCTACCCCCAGCGCACCCCCTGTGGCGTCGAGGAAATGCCACGCCTGCCACGCCCTGGGAGCCTGCAGCGCATAGGGCCCCCACCCCCAGCGCACCCCCTGTGGCGGCGAGGAAATGCCACGCCTGCCACGCCCTGGGAGCCTGCAGCGCATAGGGCCCCACCCCCAGCGCACCCCCTGCGCCGTCGAGGAAATGCTACGCCTGCCACGCCCTGGGAGCCTGCAACGCATAGGGCCCCCACCCCCAGCGCACCCCCTGTGGCGTCGAGGAAATGCCACGCCTGCCACGCCCTGGGAGCCTGCAACGCATAGGGCCCCCACCCCCAGCGCACCCCCTGCGGCGTCGAGGAAATGCTACGCCTGCCACGCCCTGGGAGCCTGCAACGCATAGGGCCCCCACCCCCAGCGCACCCCTTGTGGCGGCGAGGAAATGCCACGCCTGCCACGCCCTGGGAGCCTGCAGCGCAAAGGGGCCCCACCCCCAGCGCACCCCGTGAGGCGCCCAGGAAATGCCACGCCTGCCACGCCCTGGGGGCCTGCAGCGCATAGGGCCCCCACCCCAAGCGCACCCTCTGTGGCGTCGAAGGAATGCCCTGTGTGCTATGCTGTGCTGTGCTGTGCTGTGCTGTACTGCTGTGCGGTGAGCTGTGGTGTGCCGTGCCGTGCTGTGCTGTGCTGTGCTGAGCTGAGCTGAGCTGAGCTGTGCTCAGCTGTGCCGTGCTGAGCTGAGCTGAGCTGAGCTGTGCTGAGCAGTGCTGTGAGGAGGAGGGGAAGAGTGAGGTGTTGGAGAGAGAGAGAGAGAGAGAGAGAGAGACACGAGGAGAGACGGAGAGTGAGGTGTGAGGGTGAGTGTCGCGGGTGCGGCGCGGCAGGGAAGAAAACCAGAACCCCACGAAACATGTGGGGAATTACACCAGAGAAAACCCCAAAATCATTGGATGTTTTGGACAATTTGGGATCGTGGGATCCTGAAAAATCGGCCCAGAACCAGCAACCAGGAACCCAGAAAAACCCAATCAGCGGATGCTTTGAAACAAAGAATCGTGGGATCCCGAAGTTGGCCCAGAAACAGCGACCAAGAGCCCGGGAGCCCGGAGCCGGGAACCCGGGAACCCAGCCAGCTACCGAAATCGGCCGGGGACTTTCGCCAAATCTTCGAATGTCTGTTATCTGGAAGTAGGAAAGGGGTATGGCATAAAGGGGTGTGGTGCTAATTTTATGGAAAGGGGACTCTGGCTATGTTAATCGCAGAAAGCATCGCCATGTCCACGATTGGCACCATACCTCTTTATGCCACACCCCTTTTCCGACCTCAAGACTTTAGGACCCTTTCAGTGCAAGCACCGATTGGGGAAAAACAGGTCGGCGGATATTTGAGATGGGAGGCCTGTCGACAGGCAGGCACTCTGAGGGCCCCCCGAGAGCCACTACCCCCTCGTGCGAGAAAATCGGGTGCGCATCCCACTTCAGCCCCCAGGTGCAGCGTCGAAACGGGCACGCGGCCAGAGATCGGAGACTCCATTGAATGGGCCCAGGGACACACAAACAAATACACACAAATCCCAAGATTCCCCATATTTTCGTAGATTTGCTCTGGGTGTTCGTCTTCCCCCCCACTTCCCATACTTTCCCATGTTTTCCTGGGGATCGACGATTCATTGTGTCTGTGTTTTTGTTCCCCTCCTGATCAACATTGAAATGGGGGCTTGGCGGGGGCGGGGCAAGCAGTGTTCGCACGAGGTTGTCGAAATCAGATGCCCGCGGCATGCCACGCCACCGTGCCAGCTCGACACTGGGGGGGGGGGGAGGCGACACTTCTAGCAACGAGGTTCGACACATTCTGCAACGTTGTGAGTTCGTGACATGTGACGTGGGCTCATGCGTGTGCCAGCTTTGTGGGCTGTCCTGGGCCATGCGTATCCAGCGTCTGGCCTCCGCATGTCCCACATGTGCATCCCCTTGCGTGCGTCTCAAGCTTCCCATTCTATCCCCGCCTTGCGAACATTCTCCATGGACGTTGCCCTGCGAGCGCTCCTGGCCAGGCACGTGCGGCCACCTCGCCCTGAACCTCTTGGGGGCCTCTGGGGGCTGCCATGGGCCGTCTGGCGGGGCTTCTGGAGGCCCCCATTGGTCTCTTTCGGCTTCGCTTTGGCTTCTCCAAGGCATTCTTGGAACCATCTTGAACAGAGGGCCAGGAAACGCACATCGTCGAAAGCCCTACGAATTTCTTCAGGTTCTTGCACTTGCTTGCACATGCTTGACCTTCGGGGGCGGCCTCCTGGCAGTCGCTCTGATGTTTGGGAGACCTCCCGGGGTCACCTTTGACATCTCTGAAGGGCTTCCTTGAGGGGTGTCGGGTGCCTCCTGAGGCAATACTGCGCCATCATGGCGGCATTGGTGCCTTTCCTGGGCCGTCTTGGAAGCAGTGGAGGGCCTCGGAGTTCCCCGGAGCGGCGACCCGGCGCCCAAGAGCCCTCGCGAGGGCGAGGGGCCGCAGAAGACTCCCGCAGACCTTGCCAACCAGCACTTGGCCCTACACCACTCCTAAACGTACCAGGAGGCACGGTGGCGGACATGCTGTAATCGTCAAGTCGCGCGGTCACGAAGCGTTGCGGAAGTTTGGGGAGACTTCTGCAAGCTTCTCCGACCCATCCGATCCCAGGTCCCGAGCTTGCCGATCGTTGCGGCAACGATAGGGGAGGAGCAAGGGCAGCAGCAGAAGCGGCAGCAGAAGGAAGAGGAGGAGGTTGTGACTTCGGCTTGCCGACCTCACCGACCTTGGGAGCTCTAACCTGATTCTCGTCAAGTTGGGTTACAGTCATGGGCGCTCTCCCTCTACATCTTTCGTTTTGGGTCACCGTCGGGTGGTCAGCTCGTTCACAGCTGCATCGCACCCGGCTGAGATGCGTTCGGGCATGCATCCAGGGGTGCCTTTCCGCTCTTCTCTACTTGTGGTTTTTCTTGTACAACGTTAAAAAACGGGTTGACGCGAGACCGACCTTTCCTTGATATGGGTCAGGTCCAGCACTTACTTTTCTCGTTCGCTCCACCATGAAAGGGGCACGGACGATGTGGGCGCCTCCTTCCTCCCCGTCGTCTTCCCTTCATTCCTCCTCCTCCTCCTCGCGGTTCTCCCCCTCTGTTGATAGACGGACAGTTTCTTACGCAAAACAGTCGGCATGCAGACAGCACCGCGACATCGACAGCACTGAGAGGCTCGAGGGAGCAAGGAGCGAGACTGCTTGCCAGCTGCTTAAGCCACTATGCCTTGATGGAATATGACCCGACCTCTCCAGAAAAGAACCAACGATGTTTAATCGGGCCGTACTGCTGTACTGATATGACTGGGTGGGCGTATGTTCACATGCTTTGTACGTCGCTTCCGTGATGAGGAGGCGACCCACGACCCCCCAAAAAAGGTGTTGACGGGGGGGAGGAGGAGGAGGAGGAGGAGGAGGAGGAGGAGGAGGAGGAGGAGGAGGAGGAGGAGGAGGAGGAGGAGGAGGAGAGGAGGAGGAGGGAGGAGGAGGAGGAGGAGGAGGAAAGGAGAGAGGGAGGACGAGCTAGGTGCGCTCGCGTCATATCCGACGTCCTACCCCTCCACCCCACCCCTTACCATTGCGTAGATCTCCTCTCTATTCGCACAGTTAGATGTCGTAGCATGGCATAGCATCGAAGATAAACGCGTAGCATGACATAGCATGGCGTGGCGACGCCCCAAGGTGGGGGGGGGCTTCTGCGGCCCAAAATCAACGAATCGACGCCGAATGTGGAATCATTTCCGATGGTTTCTTCGGGAGGGCATGTTCTAGATTTTGGGGTTTATTTGGAAGGACCGAAAACCATGCCGGGGCATGGCACTCGAAACAATGACGCCAGCGCTGCAGCGTCAGCACGATTCGGAACGAGCTCAAGCGCAGAAATGAAGCCAGCGCTGCAGCGGGAGCACGATTCGGAACGAGCGGTAGCCCGAAAGTGAGGCCAGCGTTTCAGCGAGAGCAGCATTTTGAAAAAACTCAGCGCGGAAGTGCGGAAATGAGGACGCGTAGCCCGACATAGCATGGCGTGGCGACGCCCCGGCTTCTGTGGCCCAAAAAATAAACCAATCGACACCGAATGTGTAATCACTTCCGATGGTTTCTTCGGGAGGGCATTTCCTAGATTTTGGGGCCTATTTGGGAGGACCGAAAACCATGTCGGGGCATGGCACTCGAAACAATGACGCCAGCGCTGCAACGGGAGCACGATTCGGAACGAGCGGAAGCGCGAAAATGAGGCCAGCGCTGCAGCGGGAGACCATTCGGAACGAGCGGTAGCCCGAAATTGAAGCCAGCGCTTCAGCGAGAGCGGCATATTGAAAAAAAACCAAGCGAGAACCCAACTCCTGGGAATCTTGTGTGCAAAAAACCAGTACGGGCCGGACATTCCCCGGACGCCACCAGGGGAGAGAGAGGAGTGGTATTCATATCGTGCAACTGCAGAGAAGGAGGAGGAGGAGGAGGAGGAGAAGGAGGAGGAGGAGGAGGAGGACGACGACGACAAGGAGGTGCTGACCTGCGACCCCCAAAAAGGGCCCCAGAAGCCGGCGCCGCCGACTTGGGGCGGTCCATGGCCAGGGACGCCCAGTGTGTGTCTTTCCGGGCGGCGTGGCTGCAGGGCGCGCCGACTTGGCGCTTGCAGCGTCCTGCCCGCAGGCCACACCACCAGGCACGGCAGGCCTGACCTCCTCCTCCTCCTCCTCCTCCTCCTCCTCCTCCTCCTCCTCCTCCTCCTCCTCCTCCTCCTCCTCCTCCTCCTGAATCGAATCGCGACATCGGGTCGGATCGGAAACGGATCGGGCCGCCAGCGAATCGTCCCGAACCGACTCGAGATCGGATCGCCGCGCCCCGCTCCGGCTGGCCCGCCGACGTCGGCGAATCGAACTCTGATTCGAATCGAATCGAAGCGGAAGCGCGGCCCCAGCCGGCGAGTCGAATCGCATCGCATCGGATCGTAGGCAGCCCTGCCAGGCAGCTGTTGGCCCTCCTCCGTGCCTGGCTCGGTCCAGCGGCGCCGCCGTCAGAGTGTCCCCCTCTGCCCCGCTCGGAGGAGCACCGCGACGGCGAGAACGCGGCCCTCGCCGCGGAGCTCCTCGAAGCGCTCTGCGGGAGCCCCGGTGGCAGCTTCGGACACCACGACGCGCTCGCCTCGCCGACCGGGGGCCAGAGGGCTCAAAGGGTGGTCGAGCGTGAGGTCGTCGAATTCAGCCAGGCAGTGGAGAGACAGCGGGCGGTGTGTACGTTCGCGAGGACGGCCGGCCTTTCCGGCGGCCGACGCACGTGCGGCGCACGGGCGACGAACGCGCGACGCACCTTTTGTCGCGAAGGAGGGGGGGTCAGCACGCCGGTCGTGTTACTGGGTCTGAACAGTCGAGCGTGAGGTCGTCGAAGTCAGCTAGGTAGTGGAGAGACAGCGGGCGGTGGAATGGCAGGAGCAGTCTTTGCGGCGTCGGCGAGAATCTGCGCGCAAGGTCTCGGCGTCGACGCAATGGTGGCGTCAGAATCCCGCGGCGTGGTTGATCCAACTGCGCGGTTGGAGCAGGCAGGACTGAATAGACTTTTTCTCGGAGGTGATCCGAAGTATCGAAGACGCCAACGGCGAATCACCGCCGCCCCCTGCCCCTTTGGAAGCGCCTATGTGGCCGACAGCTGGGCTAGAGCTTGGACAAGCTATCGGGCCAGCTGTTCCCCGAGTCGGTTCGGAAAGCCTTCGGGGAACGCATGGAGGAGCAATAGGTGGAAGATCAGGGGAGAGAGGAGGATGATGATTAGGAGCACGATGGAGATGAGGATGAGGCTTAGGATGATGGGGAAGGAGGAGGAGTAGGAGGAGGAGACTTTTTGGGAACCGTCTTGCGAGGCCTCTTGGGAGGCATCTGCGAAGCTTCTTGGGTGCCTTTTGGAGGCCTCTTGAGAGCCTCCCTGGGCCTCTTGGTGGCTTCTTGGGGGCCTTTGGGGGTTTCTTGGGGGCCTCTTACCCTTCTTAGGGCGTTCCCGACCCGTCTGACACCGTCGGAAGCCGTCTTGGCGGCCTCTCTGAACCGACTTGGGACTCTCTTGGGGCGCTTCAGGGCCGTCTTGGAGAGTATTTTGGACGTCTTGGAGGTCGCCGTCTTGGGGGCCTCTTGGGCCGTCATGCGGCCATCTTGGAGGCCTCTTGGGGCGACCTTTGGGGCCTCTGGGGCCGTGCTGGGCCGTCGGAAGGCAGACAAGGAGCAAATGCCAAATGCAAATGCCAAAACCTTAGGAAAATCAATGAGTTTTGCCTCTTCGGGCCCTGTTGGAGGACCTCTTGGAGGCCTCTTGGGCCGTCTTGGAGGCCTCTTGGGGGCCTCTTGGGCCGTCTTGGGCCATCCTGAGGCCAACTTAGGCCGCTGCTGGTACATCTGAAGCCGTCTTGGAGGCATCTTGGGGCCACCTGAGCCGTCTTGGAGGCCATCTTGGCCGTCTTGGAGGCCTCTTGGGGCCCTCTTGGGGCCGTTTTGGGAGCCTCTTGGGCCGTCATGGGGCCATCTTGGAGGCTTCGTGGGTGGGTGATCTTGGAGCGATATTGGGGGCCTCTTGGGTCGTCTTGAGCCGTCGGAATGCCGAGAAGAAGCAAATCCCAACATCCTTCAAAAACCTAAGGAAAATCAATGAATTCGGCCTCTTCGGGCCCTCCTGGAGGACCTCTTGGAAACCTTTTGGGCCGTCTTGTAGGCTTATTGGGCGTACTTGAAGGTATCTTGGGCTCTCTTGGGCCGTCTTGGAAGCCATCTTTGACCATCTTAGGCGAACTTGGGGGCCATTTCGGGCCATCTGAGCCGTCTTGGAGGCTGACTTGGGCCATCGTGGAGCGGGACAGGCATTGACATGTGCAGTCCGGCGGGCTGGGCCGAAGCGCCAGGGGGTGTTCTTTTGGAAAAGAACCAAAACCAACCAAAACCAAGACCGAAAGGGTTCAGCGCGCCAGGCAGCCCTGTGATGAATCAACAGGGGGCAGCGGATCAAAGACGCCTACGGCGAATCACCGCCGCTCCCTGCCTTTTGGGGAAGCGCCTATGTGGCCGAGAGTTTGGCTAGAGTTTAGCCAAGCTGTCGGACCATGAGTTCCCCGAGTCGGTTTGGAAAGCTTCCAGGGAACATGTTGGGGAGAATGAACATGATTAGGAAGAGGAAGAGGAAGAGGAAGAGGAAGCTTAGGAGGATGAGGCTTCTTGGGGGTCTCTTGGGGCACCCTTGGGGCCTGCTGTGAGCTTCTTGGGGGCCTCTTTGAGGCCTCTTTGGGGCCTCCTTGGGCCTGCTGGGGGCCTTTGGAGGCTTCTTGGCTCAAGCCGTGATGGCTTAATGGCTGCTGCGAGTTGTTCTGGAGCTGCCTTCGCAATCACAAGCTTTAGGCCGGTTCTCAAGCCCGGCACGCAGGGCTACAGACAAGAAAAATACACAGTTTGGCGCACAACATTGGGGTGCGTGATTGCGAGGGCGCTGGTAAAGAAACAACATCATCACATCCGTTCACGTCTACATCACGTTCGCGTCGTAGTGTGATTACGCTTCTCTTCACAGGGGGCTTCTCGGGGGGCTCTTTGGCCGTCTTGGGGCGCTCCTGGACCGTCTGACGCCGTCGGAAGTCGTTTGGGGGCCCTCTCTGGGCCGTCTTGGGGTCCTCTTGGGGCGCTTCGGGGCCGTCTTGGAGACCATCTTGGGGGTCTGGGAGGCTTATTGTGCCGTCTTTGGGCCCTCCTGGGGGCGTCTTGGGGCCTCTTCGGCCGTCATGGGGCCATCTTGGAGGCCTCTTGGACGCTCTTGGGGACATCTTGGGAGCCTCTTGGGCTGTCTTGGGCCGTCGGAAAGCCGAAAATGAGCAAACGCCTGAATCCCTCAAAAACCAATTGAAAATCAATGATTCTGGCCTCGTCGGGCCTTTCTGGAGGACATCTTGGAGGCCTCTTGGAAGCCTCTTAGGCCGTCTTGGGCCACCTTGAGGCTATCTTAGGCCGTCTTTGGGTGCATCTTGGAGGCGTCTTGAGGTCATCTTAGCTGTCTTGGAGGCCATCTTGGCCGTCTTGGAGGCATCTTGGAGGCCATATTGGGCCATCTTGAGCGAAGAAGCCGATGAGGCAGGAAGCTGGCGGGACGGGCCGAAGCCCCAGGGGGAGTTCTTTTGGAAAAAAAGCCAAAACCAGAACGTAAGAAATCCAGCATGCCAGGCACCCCTGTGATGAATCAACAGGGGGCGGCGCATCGACTGGCCTCGGCCCATCCCGCCACCGTGCCTGGGTTGTGGATATGAAGCCTATTGGATGTTCGTTGGGATCTCGTGGGGGGGCCTCTTCGGGGGCCTATTGGCGGCAGTTTGGAGGCCTCTGGGGCTCCGTTTTGAGGCTTCTCAGAACCTCGTTTGGGCCTCTCGGATGCCCCTTTGGGGCTTATTGGGGGCCTCTTAGGGCCTCCTGGGGGCCTCTTGTGGTGGAAAGCTAGATTTTTCAGTTCGTGTTCCCTCTCTTGGCCCCTCTTGGGGTCTTCTTGTGGTCCTCGTGGGCTGCCTTGACGGCCGTCTTGAGGCGCTCTTGGGTCATCTTGTGGCTCTCTTGGGGGCATCTTGGGCCGTCTTGGAGCGGTCTTGGGGGCCTCTTGGGGGCCTCTTGGGGGCCTCTCGGGCCGTCTTGGAGCGGCGGAAAGCTTAAAAGGCGAGAGTACCAAAAACCTTTGACAACCAATGAAGACCAACATAAACCAACAATGTTGCCCTCTTCGGAGGCCTCTTCGGAGGCCTCTCGGAGGCCTCCTGGCGCGTCTTGGGGGCCTCTTCGGCCGTCTTGAGTTCATCTTAGGCGTCTTGGGCCGATCTTGGGGGCCTCTTGGGCCCCGTCGCGTCACCCCGCGTGACTCTTGGGGCCCTCCTGGGCCGGAGAAAATCACGCGCCACCAATTCCCAAAGTCCAGGGGGGGGGGGCATGCGCCAAGCCCCAAGAGATGTCGGACATCGGGGCCCGGGCTTACAGGAAATTCTTCTGGATCGAGGACTGAGGCTGAGGGGATGGGGCAAAGGACCCGAGGACACGCCCACTCCGTGCCCAGCGGTACGGTGGCGGATACTTCTGCGCGCGTCGATGACGTCAAGCTCGCCGAAGCCCTGTCAGAATCTGAGAGACTCCGCGGCGGAGCCCCCCGAAGTCGGCGGCCCCGTCTTCGGCCGCATCGGCGCAAGCAGTTGCGCGAAGCAGGTCTTCGGCCCACTGCCGCTGTCCGACCCTTCGGGCGCTGCCTGCGTGGCTCCAGCGAAGGGAAGGCTCGGAGACGAGCAAGGGGGGAAGTGAGAAGGAAGAGGCCCTCTCAGAAGGCGGCGGGACTTCTCAGAAGCCCTCGCGCCTTCTGGGAAGCTTTCTCTGCTTTCTGGGAAGGCTCTGAGAACACTTTTCAGAAGGCCGGATGACTTCCGAGCCTTCTGAGAAGGCCCGCCCTTTCCCACTTCCCCCCCTCGCTCGCCGCCGAAAGGTGCTGGCAGGCGTCAGACAGGCCACCAGAGCGTTCCCGAACGCTCTCGGGACATTCCGGAGCGCTCTGAAATGGCTGCGGCGCTGGGTGCATCCTCATTTGGCTGACCTTGGTCTCTCAGATGCACGGGGCCCCAGACATGCGGCGCTTCGATTTCTCGAGGCACAGCCACCCGACCTCTCGACCACCTCCCCAGGGCCGGCTCGTCACCCCGAGTCGCCTGTGGACGGGCCCAGGCCCCCGTGGGGGCCCCGAGGCCTTAAAGCGATCCTGAATCGAGTCTGCCTCGGACTTCTTCGCGACGCTGGATGTCTGCTGCTGTCGCCTTCCGGAGTGGCCCTCCTCTCGCCTTCGTCCTGGCGAGAGGAGAAGGAGGAGGAGGAGGAGGAGGAGGAGGAGGAGGAGGAGGACCCCTTCCCCCTCCTACTTATGGTGGTGGTGGTGGCCCCGCGTGGCCGGGCCGTGCCCGGGCCCCCCTTTGTGTGCGGCCACGGCCTGCCGGTGCCGACGAGCCCTCCGGGGCCGCGGAGGGAGAAGCCGTGCCGCGTCGAAAAATCGAATCGGATCCGCTGCGCAAAGATTTTGAGCGAGGAGGAGGAGGAGGAGGAGGAGGAGGAGGAAGAGGAGGAGGAGGAGGAGGAGGAGCGCCATGCGAGCATCGGGCCGCCTCGGGTCGCCGGGCACTTCGGGGCCCCCAGACCGTGTGGTGGCGGACCGCGTGGTGACCTCGGAACGCCCAACGACCTCACCGCGCGGTCCGTGACCGCACGGCTTTGGGACGCCAGGGGCCCCTGGCCGCCCGAGGCGTCGTCGGAGAGCGACCCGAGTCAACAGAAACAGTCGGTGACCAGAGGTCTCGACCGCTTCCCTCGGGCTACTGTGCTGAGTTCCACATCCATGTCTTGATGGCATTGGGGCGCACTGCATGCCGAAATCGATGGAGAGAGAACGCCTGGGGCTGAAAGAGGATGCCGTCGGAAGTCTGGGAGCCCGTGTCGACGCGGCCCGAGCGGGCGCACATTTCGATCCGATCCGGCCTCCCGATGCGATCCCGACTCGTCCTGGCAGGGGTCGAAGGGGCCCAGGCAAGGGGCAGGTCGTTCCAGAGCGCCCCAGAGCGCTCTCGGCACGCCCTGGAGCGCGCTGGAGCGGCCGCGGCGCCCGAGACATCATCCAGGATTGCTGGATCTCAGTCCTCCTCCTCCTTCTTCCTTCCTCCTTCCTCCTTCCTCCTCGCGCCTCCTCCTCCTCCTCCTCCTCCTCCTCTTCCTCCTCCTCCTCCTCCTCCTCCTCCTCCTCCTCCTCCTCCTCCTCCTCCTCCTCCTCCTCCTCCTTTTCTTTCTCCTCCTCCTCTTCCTTTTCCTCCTCCTCCTCCTTCTCCTCCTCCGCCTCTTCCTCCTCGAGGTCCCCCATTTGTCCTGGTCCGATGTTGCCCCTGTCCTTGCCTCGTTTTAGCATTCCTTTTCGATCCGATGTTCGGCGACTACAAAAGAGGTGGTTACGCCGGGGTGAGGATCTATGTCGTCGGGCCTCCTCGGAGCGCGGCGGAGAGCACTGTCGAGGTCCTCGCCCGCCCCCCAGGGTGCGGGTTGCAAGCCACACCCTTTGCAAATCACACCCCCAGACCCCCGACGTCATGATTTGTTCATAACGTCGACCCCCGAGGTCTCGACCCATTCCCCGGAACCCGTTTTTCATCCCGAGTCGTTGTTTGACGGCCCCGAGGCCCGGCGAGGGCCCCCAGATGCCGAAAATGGCGAGAAAACTCCCGCCGTGATTGTTTCGTCACTCGAGGGGGTCTGGGCCCTCCAGAGTCGCCAGGATCCTCATCCTTTTTTGCCTCCTCTTCTTTGCGTTCGGCAAACATAAGCGACGAGGCTGTTGCCATGTTCTTCCTCCTCCTCCTCCTCCTCCTCCTCCTGCTCCTGCTCCTTCTCCTCCTCCTCCTCCTCCTCCTCCTCCTCCTCCTCCTCCTCCTCCTGCCCCTCCTCCAATCCATTGCCTTATACATAACACTCCATTGCCTTATACATAATTTCTCCCTCTCGCACCCCGAGGCAAGTTTTAGGGCGGCCCGGGCGTTTCGCTTGAGATTTCCTCACCATGTATGATTCTGCTGTTGAAAATTGGCAAAAGCTTCACAGATGGAGGGCGGGTCGTCTTCAAAATGCGGTTATCGCCTTAGCGCGGCGCACATTCGTTTAAAATGTTGCAAGAGTTTCACGAATTGAAGGCGGGTCGTTTTCAAAATGTGGTTGTTGCCTTAGCACGGCGCACATTCGTTCTAAGATGTTGCAGGAGTTTCACGGATTGAAGGCGGGTCGTTTCCAAAATGTGGTTCTCGCCTTAATGTTATAAAATGTTGCAAGAGTTTCACGGATTGGAGGCAGGTCGTTTCAAAATGTGGTTCTCGCCTTAGCGCGGCGCACATTCGTCTTAACATGTTGCAAGAGTTCCACGGATTGCCGGGGGGGCGTTTTCGAAATATTTTTCTCGCCTTAGCGCGGCGCACATGTGTTAAACTGTTGCAAGGGCTTCACGGAATTAAGGCGGGTCGTTTTCAAAATGTGGTTCTCGCTTTCGCGCGGCGCACATTCTTTTTCAAAATGTTGCAAGGGTTTCACGGATTGAAGGCGGGTCGTTTTCAAAATGTGGTTCTCGTCTTCGCGCGGCGCACATTCTTTTTCAAAATGTTGCAAGGGTTTGACTGGCGGCGGGTCGTTTTCAAAATGTGGTTCTCGCTTTAACGCGGCGCACATTCGTGGTTAACTGTTGCAAGAGTTTCACGGGTTTAAAGCTGGTCGTTTTCAAAATGCGGTTATCGCCTTAGCGCGGCGCACATTCCGTGTAAAATGTTGCAGGAGTTTGACGGATTGAAGGCGGGTCGTTTTCAAAATGTGATTTTCGCCTGTGCACGGCGCACATTCGTTTTTAAATGTTGCAAGGGTTTCACGGATTGAAGGCGGGTCGTTTTCAATATGTGGTTCTCGCATTAGCGCGGTGCACATTCGTTTTAATATGTTGCAAGAGTTTCACGGATTGAAGGCGGGTCGTTTTCAAAATGTGGTTCTCGCTTTAGCGCGGCGCACGTTCGTTTCAAACAGTTGCAAGAGCTTCACGGATTGAGGGTGGGTGATTTTCAAGATGTGGTTCTCGCTTTAGCGTGGCGCACACTCTTTTTAAGATTTGCAAGAGTTTCACGGATTGACGGCGGGTTGTTTTCAAGATGTGGCTCTCGCTTAAGCGCGGCGCTCGTTCGTTTCAAACAGTTGCAAGAGTTTCACGGATTTCCATCATCAACATGCCAGAAACGGGTTTTGAAAGGATTCCAGACATTGCGGGTGCAACAGTTATGTTGGTTCGCTGTGTTGAAGTCCCAGGAATGGCGCTCTGGCGCGATTCAGGATTGTCAAGACGCAACCGTCAGGTTGATCCGTGGCGTGCATGCTTCAGGGTCTTCAAACGGTTGACTTCCAAAGAGGCAGTTCCTTCAATGGAAATGAACCGTTGTAGGGGCATATGAAGAGGGAGCTTGGAGGGAGGGTGTATTACAACTTCGTCGATGACTCTTGGGTTTACACTGGTCCTCCTCCTCCTGCTCCTCCTCCTCCTCGTTCTCCTCCTCCTGCTCCTCCACCTCCTCCTCCTCATCGTTCTCCTCCTCCTTTTCCTCCTCCTCCTCCTCCTCCTCCTCCTCCTCCTCCTCCTCCTCCTCCTCCTCCTACTCCTACTCCTACTCCCACTCCCACTCCCACTCCCACTCCTCCTCCTCCTTTATTTTTGGCGTTGTCCCGAGTCGACTCCGACCCGGCCCGGCAGGGCGGAGCGCAGAGCCCCTGCCCCGAGCGCCGAGGCGAGGAGCAGCAGCTCCGCGGCTTGTCGCAGAACGCCCAGGCGGGCCCCGGCCCCGCCGCCTCGGCTGCCTCTCTGCCGCCCGGCGCCCGTCCTCGGAAGGAGCCTCAGGCCCCTGGAGACCAGGACACAGATAAACCAGGACACGGAAAACCAAGGAAACGACATCCTTTCCTGCAAGGTCACGTTTTTCAGCACCATTGCATGTTTTGTCTGTTGTTTTGCACGTCTTGCAGGCTTTTTGAGGCTTGTGCCCGGGTTTATTCTGGAAATGCTGCAGTGCAGTATTTTGTTCGTGCCGCCGTTTGGAAAAGTTGGTTTCGAGGGGTGTTGGGTGTCCGGTTCTAGCGTGTCCGGGTCTACGGGGCCCTGAGAGCCTCGACGCTGCTCGTAGCAGGGCGCCTTGGCTGAAGACCTCGGGAGTCGAAGCCAGGGGGGCGAACGACGGCGCCTGGGCTCCAGACCTCGGGGTCGAAGCTGGGGGCCGAGCGATGGCATGGAAGAAGAGAGAACGCCATTAGCATAAACTGTTGCCGCTCCGCGCGGATTTCTGGGATCAGCGCTGGGGCCCCCTGGCGGCGCCTCCAGCGCCGCCCCTGGCGCGCTCCGAGCGCCAGGGACGGGGTCCTAGCCCAGATCCAAGAAATCCGCCCAGACCTCCAAAAGTTTATGCTTACGCCGTTTCTCCTTCCTCTACAGCAAACAATCGGAGGTCCGCGCGGACCTCCGAGTTGTTACGTTTCTGTCATGGCTTGTTCCTCCAGTACACTCAACGCGCCTAGTAAGGACGCGCGCCTTCATCTGGTGTACCCTTGTGCCCTAGCCCCTGCGGCCCTCCTCTGCCCACAACACCTGGGATCGCTGCTCTATAATTCCTTGGAAGCGGTTCCAAGTGAATAGAGACAGCGATCCCACTGGGATCGCTTCTCTGGTCGCCCGCCGCCCACAGAATCCCAGCGTCGGCCTCCAAGGGTACTGCGTCCTTTCCACCAGTCCTCAATGCACGCTTTGGCTCTTTAGGGGCGTTCCAGACGGGGCCTCGCCTTCGAGGGTCGAAAGGGTTGCCATCTCTTCCTCGGTGGAAGGCCAGCAGAAGCTGGCGGAAGTAGAACGAGGGCGTCTCCGCCAGCAGAAGCTGGCGGAGGTGAAGGAGGCGCCCCCGAGAGATGACAACAGTTTTGGATCCAGGGTTTCTGGAGCCAGCCATATACGTCGGGGACACGCTGAAGTAGGAAAAATCGCTGGCCCAATTGGCAAGGGGCGTGCTAAAGTCTCCGGTACCAGGTTATTATCAGTTTAGTTCGCGCGCGCTTGGCGGCCTCTGGAGATCCCAGTGCGAGAAGTATACCGGGCGGTCCGCGGAGAGAAGGTCGCAGGCCGCCCAAATTGGGTCCGAGCAGCTGCCCAGATCTCAGAAGATCTGTTTTTGCTCCACCCCAGCGGTCTTCCTCGATTTCGGCCTCTGGGGGTCTTTGTCGAGTGGGCCAAAGATGGGCCCAGGGGCAAAAAACTGCCCCAGAGGGAAAGGGGTCGGGACCTTTGGGGCCCCTGGCTGAAAAAAAAAAAAAAAAAAAAAAAAAACATCGGCGACGTCGACGCGTTCGCGGTGCAGATTGGATTTGAACCCGTTTTTCCCCATCCCGAGGTCGCCTGCGCATCGCAGGCGTGCATCGGCGATGCGGCGTGGTCCTCCGACACCATCTCTTCGGACCCCATTGGGCAGCCTCTAAAGAGAGCCTCTAAAGGAGCAGAGGAGGAGGAAGGAGTGGCAGCGTCTAAGTGCTCAAGTCAAGGACAGGGGCCATGGGCCTCTCACTCCAGCAGGGCGTGCTCATGCCACGTGCATTGATTGGCTGCCACTGCAGGACGCAACAAAGCTGTTGAGCCAAAGTGGCACCGACGCCTACGCACGTGGAGGACGCCCCCCTTCACTACTGTAACCCTGTTCCGACGTTATCTTCCTTATCCTTCATAGTTTATCTTCCTTCTCTTTCGTGGCTTGTGCGTAACATTATGGAGTCCCCTTTCCCTCAGTGGGGAAACTGACAATTTTCATCATCAGCTCATTGGTAGGTTTGACTGCATACCTGTTCCGAACATCTAGGCATATTTGTAATATAAAGTGGGGGATTGCCCTTCCTGTGGCGTTTGACTTGTATCTGGCAAGGTGCATGCCTTTTAGTCCTTCGGTCCCCCTCAGTGGGATGGCTGTTGTACAGCATGCCAGTCCTTTGTTTCAGTGTCCATTCATCCTGATGTCCCGTTCGAGACGCCTCGTACGATGGACATGGCAGCGAGGGGAGGCGGAACAGGAGGAGGAGGAGGAAGCACAGAAGGAAGAGGAGGAGAGGGGAAGGAGGGGGCGCAGGACGGGAAGGAGCACTGCGAAAAGGAGGGGCAGCCTCGAGGAGAGAGGGGGGGGGGGAGAGGAGCACGGGGAGGAGGAGGGGAAGGAGATCGGCGCGGAGGAGGAGGAGGGGGAGGAGGAGGGGGGGGAAGAGGAGGAGGAGGCACACACACGCCCTGGTCGTTGCGCGCCTCTCACCTTTCGCTGCGCAGCTGGCGGCAGTGGCCCGGCCGGGCCCCTCACGCCTCGCGGAGGCATTCGGCTCGGGGCGCGCTTCCAGACGACGCCCAGGAAGGGTCGGGCGGCCGACGTCTCGTCGGGCGAACGGTTGTTGTGCAACACCAGGAGGCTCGCCGAGACCTCGGGCGTCCAGAAGAAGTTTCGCCGAGCTGGAACTTTCTGGAGATTCCTTCGCCGGGCGTGACCAGAGGCCAGGGTATTCCCAGGATCTCCACGGAGGCTCCCGCGGCCTCTGGAGCATCCCAAGGAGGCCCAGAGGGTCCCAGGGGATCCAGACCGGCACGAAAAGCTGGGGGCACTCTGGACCAGGGACACCTTGGGCGCGTTCCACTACTCGCAAAGTGCCTACTCGCAAATGTCCGAGAAAAATATGTCCCTCTACGTAATGTATCGTAAATCCCCTGCGGCGGATCCAGGCCATTTTCGCGAGTAGCCCCTTTACGAGTAGTGGAACACGCTTGTCCATTTTAGCAACCCGAAAGTTGAGGGCACTGGCCGACGAAAGCACACCCACGGCTCGAAGTCCGTGCGAGAGTTTGGGGTCGAAAATTCCAGAGCCCCGTGCACTGAAAAGAGATCGAGCCGTCCGAGGCATGGGTACAGCCAGGAACTTTGGCTCAGCGTGTCGCGCCGCCAGTTCTGGCCCACCACGCTTCGGCGCGGCACGCTATCCACGTCCCAGTCCCCAGGCGTCAACGTCTCGAGCTTTCCCCAGCCCCCCGCCCCGCGGAGTGGAGCGGCACGCCATGTGTTCGCAAGGCGCAGCTTGCCGCAGGGGCCGCAGCAGCGACACGCTGAGCAGAAGCTCCTGACCGCAGCCCCCGTCGTTGCACGAGGGCACTGGCCAGGACACCGCCCGCGACCTCGCTCGATGCCCACCGTGTTCGGCACGATGTGGCTGGCGCCTTGGGGGAGCGCGCCGGCTTCGGCCAGCAAGCCATCGTACCCCTCCTGCTGAGCACCTCCTCCCGCGACGGCCCGCCTGCCACACGGCCCCACGGAGGAGGGCGAGGAGGAGGAGGAGGAGGGCGATGAGGAAGAGGAGGAGGAGAAGGAGGAGGAGGAGGAGGAAGAGGGAAGAGGAGGAGAGGCTCTTGGCTCTTGGCTTTTCGTGACTCTTGGCTCCTCGTGACTCCTCCTCTTTGTCAGTGCCCTCCTCCTCCTTCCTCTTCCTCCTCCTCCTCCTCCTCCTCCTCCTCCTCCTCCCTCCTCTTCCTCCTCACCCTCCTCTCTCCTCCTCCTCCTCCTCCTCCTCCTCCCCCTCCTCCTCCTCCTCCTCCTCCTCCTCCTCCTCCTCCTCCTCCTCCCTCCTCCTCCTCCTCCTCCTCCTCCTCCTCCTCCTCCTCCTCCTCCTCCATCTCCCCGTAGCCATTTTGGCTCAAGATTCCTGTTTGGCCCTGCCAGGAAGTGGATACCCCGCTAGTCCGCGGCAGGCAAGGCTGTTCAGCCTGGCATTGGTCGGCCTTTACTGCTGGAGTTGGGCCCCCGCCACTGTGCTTCATGGCCTTTACTGCGGGAGTTGGGCCCCTGCCTCTGTGTCTGGCCTTTACTTCGGGAGTTGGGCCCCCGAGAGCAGACTTTCATGTCATGGCGATCCCGCGCCCCCTGGCACCAAGGGCGTGGCGGTGGCAAGCGTGGCTACGGGGTTGGTTGGCGGTCCAACGACAAGGATTCCTACTCAGTGTGTGGCTCGTGCGGGCACTGGGAGTTCGACAAGTACGGCAACTGGAGTTGCAGCAAGTGCGGGTCCAACTACGTGGATGATCAAGTTGAGCTTGCTGCTGCTGGCGTCGCTTTCGCGAGCGAGCTCGAGCAGTTGGCCAAGAAGTCCCCGCACTTGGCAGGTGTCTTGGAGGGGTTGGGCGCTGCTGCAGCGGCGGTGCCTGTGGCTCAGCCTGGGCCCCCTCCAGAGCTTGCTACAGAGAAGGAGATGCAGAAGAAGGTTGCGTCTCAGCGCACTGCGCTGGCCAAGGAGGTTGAAGTTCAGTCCCGTGCATCGCGCAGAGCGACGTGGAGGCGAGGTTCACGTCGGTCGTTCGCCATCGTGAAGCGCTTCAAGGAGCTGAGCGTCAACATCGTGATGCTGTCCAACTGCTGGAGGAGAAGCAGAAGCTGCTACGCGCGGCGAATTTGGCGAAGGACGGTTTTGTGGAGGCCGGCTGTCGTCGGCAGTTGCGTGCCAAAGGAGACCGAGTTCGTGCCGGGGCTGCCCGTGCGCTGCACGAAGCGCAGGCGGCTGCTGACATGGCGGTGGGCCGCGGGGCGGCCCCCGAGGTGCCTGCTGCAGGCGGCCTACCTGGCGCCCCTCAAGCTGGAGGTCGGGCTGCTGCGGCGGAGCCTGCGGGCGGCGACGGGGGCGCCCCAGGCGGCGGTGGCCACGGCGGCGGAGGCCATGGCGGCGACGGCAGTCGACCTGCTCGTGCCGTGGGCGATGCTCCTGCTGGCGCTCTTCACC